CCATCGATCCTTCCGCCGAATACCCCCAATCCTACTCCTGCCACCGCCGACCACGATAGGAAGTATGTTGCTGCACAAGGAACACCACTTTTCAATAGCATCTGGGGACAAGGGTCCTCGGACTCCCAGGAGGATTTTGCGCTCATCTGGTCCGAACAAGAAAACCTTTGGGTTGCTATCTACCGCTTAGCCGTCACTGTCTGTACGCTGATTTGTTTTCTCGGGGTATGATGATATTCACTCATTCCCTAGCATACCTCCGTCTGAACTTCGCGGATCCCCTCCTCTGTCTCACCGTATCTGCCACCCTGCGCGAGAAACCTGTCACGACTTCCTCTACTCAACACCCCTTCATTCGATTCCTTAAGTCTTACGACGGTATTGTCATTCCAGAATCGCCAACAATAACCGAAAAAGGACAAACGCAACAACAGGATGATACTCTGGAAGGATTCGAGGAAGTCAATCTTCTTGAGGGACTACTCGCTGGTACGTGAAATTAAATCATTAGTTGTTGCATCTGACTGAATTGGCACAGGACCAACATTCTCAAAGATTGGGCCCTCCGAGATCAACCTTCCCTCTACCAGACTTGGAATAGTCTCCAGACAAAAGATGTTCGCGCTGCCCCCCATAAATCTTCCAACACCAACTACTCCTTCCCCTTCTCCCATGACTGCCACGCGAGGGAAGGTGCACCCAACATTGCGCAAGTCATACCGCAAAACACTTCAAACTGTCTCTGGGTTTCGCGTCCGCATGAGGACCGTTTTCGTGCCTAGTGTCGTCCTTAATGCCTCGCAAGAGGAGCACGACAAAATGACATCAGGAAATGAAGAACGAACAGTTGTTCTATGCGTCGAGATCGAGAACTCTGGAGAATCTGACCATGGAGTAGGCTTTGAGGTTGAAAAGGTCGACGTGGCTATCAGTGGAGATGAGGCCAAGGCAACCTTAATCACCTGGGGTGCCGAAGGGTTCGCAACCGGAGAGGCGGTATTTCCTTTGAAGCTTGCCCAATGGGCCCAGTACAACCTCTTATATGCGGTCACTTTCCTGCGATCGCCCCAAGAACTCGATGCATTTTCTTTTGCTCGTTCATCTGGCAACCACGCTCACAGTGACCTGCAGCGAGCAGTCACCATCAATATCTTCGGAAAACCATACGTAAAAGCTCAAGGTTCAACAGTGTACCCGACACAAACGTTCTCATCCAAGTGGAATTGCGTTCTCGACTTGGCCTCGCGTCAAACCCATAATCTTGACTCAAACGACCCTTCTAGCCCACACCCGAACGTGCTTCCAGAACCTCCATCTCCCTTCCCAGTATTCAGCCTCCAGACCTCGAAGCCTAGTCCCACCCATGGATCGGCCGTAGATAGCGCGAAAACCCGGCTTATGGCCGGCCGTATCATCAAAACCTCAAGTCCGAGGTTCTCCTCTATCCCAATGAGCGCTAACACAGCGAGGTTCTCGACCCCCCAACTTGGGGGTCCTGGACAATTCATGCGTTCGCCCACAACGTATGGTGCTCCGCCCCCACCGCCCGACCATGATCGTTCTTATCCAGGACCACTTACTGCAGCGACAATCCCACCAGCTTTTGACTCGCCAATGACACCGGCGTATCCTGCTTTTCCATCTAAATCAGCTATCCCACCGACGCCCATGTTCCAAGCACCTGTAATTTCCCAATCTTCAGCTGGGATAATTGGGCCCAGTTTAGAGGCTCGACGAAATAGAGGTTCACTTATGGAACCGCCGACTGCTGTCCCATATCACCAGGATGGAGGAACATTTGCGAACGAACAACAGAAAATACATACACGCATGTATGGGACCCCTGAGAACAACGATGCTGTCGTGGTTTCAGTCGGACTGTCGAGCGTTATTCAGGGTGGTGGGATTAGTTCGAAGGTACCCAAAGAGGAAGCTCTGGAGCTTGGACCTGGGAAGATATTCCCTCTGGATTCATTCACACTAGATATCTTTGTGTTCAATAAATCGGATCGGACGAGGCGGTTTGAGGTTAGCTGTCTAGAAAGACGTCGAAGGCGGAGAGGTGGAGAGGAGAATGGTGTTACAGACGTAAATACTGGAGCAGGAAGGAAGATGGGATACCCGGGGATAATGCCTATGGAGGGACGAGTACGCATCGGGTGAGTCTACGCCTACTTGCACCGAGATTGGCGGTCGTAGATGCTGATACTATATCTAGGCCATTACTACCATCTGCTTGCCAATCCGTTCGGATGGAATTTCTTGCGGTCTCGCCCGGAGTACACTCTATCGAAGCCTTGACATTGATGGATATCGAGTCCGGATACTCGATTAACCTTAGGTATGCGCATCTTCGCTTGTTACTAACGTCGTTTGTGTCAAGATCCTTACTTACCTTTGACGACTAGATCCGTTATGGATGTTGTTGTACACAAGCCCGATGATTAAGGACATAGCTCCGATCATCGACCGTTTTCTTGGTCATTCATATAAACATTAATGACAATAAGCACCCTACCTTATCTTTACGACACCCTTGTATTTCCCGAAGAACTCTGGCCCGTATTGCGTATTGCGATAAGCGCTGAATCAATACTCAAGAACATCAAAGAACACATGAGAACATCTTCCTGGCTGTTGGGACTTGTATAACAGCCTGGAACTTTGGAAGCTCTGCGATGAAAATATTTGATGTTCGGCGATCAGGATGTTCGACCCTTGGAAAATTTGAAAATCTCATTCAGTTTTAGCGTTGCTTTATCTGCGTTAACCCCTGCTAACCCTGATCGCCGCAACAATCAACCGGGCGATGTAACTGGAGTTTGAAATTTTTGAGAAGGTGTGAACTTCGTTCTGTGGTGGAGAAGTGGAAGTAGGTAAAAGCGCATTGCCCAATTAAGCGTGAATGCCAAATATAAGGTCGCTGAATAGCGTATCCATGCGCGTGTGGGTGTCGGGATTGCTTCATCGAATCATCAGTCGGCTAAAGGGATACATCTTTTACGAGAAAGTCATATGATAACCGGGCCGCTTCTCATGGGAGAATTCCCCCGGTTTCCACATGATACAATGTATGATTCAAATATTCATCTGATGTTTTGCAAGTTGTTCGCAACTGTAGTCTTGGGATTGGACGTGATGGAGAAGCAGAAAAATAAATAGATATATCAGAGCAAAACGAAGTACAGCAACAACTCTTCACAATGAGTATGAAAAGCCAACTAGTCCCAAGACGGAAATGATAAAGAAAATATAAAAAAGGGTAGAAACGAAATGCAAAGGGTAAAGTCATGGTGCGGTAACATCAAGGTTCGGCTTTATGGAGGTCAAACAAATTGCGATTGCGTGATAGCGGCATGGCGAAGCGTGTGGCGGGAGGTCATCATTTTCATTCCTTTCGGAGATCTTTCGATGAATCGTGGGGAAGTGAGGTAGCGCACGAAGGGGATGGTGGAGTGGTATTGGAGTAGAAAGAAATATGCATGTCTACATAACTATACCATGGAAGCAGATCGACGGGTAATCTGCATCTGCAATCCAGTCTTTGTGGCTCTAGGTGGGGGTCGTTGTGCCGGTTTCCGGAAGGTCTAGAAGAATGAAGGATTTAGAGTCTGTGGGAACCAAGGGAATGAAAGCCCCTACATGTCTCGACATTATCATTTTAGCCATGGACACGGGGACGTCTGTCTGGTACATTGCGGGTACTGGAGGTAAGCGTCAGTGAGTAAGCGAGAGGCGGACACTGAGGCCGACGCACGAGGCTGTTCGAAAGCGGGCCCATTTCTCCGACCCCGCTGCCAGGGTTGGGCGGTGGACGGTTGTGGTGCAGCAAAGCCAACTCCCCTGCCCTTCATGTCGTTTTCGTTGACCTTGAGCGACACCGGCAGTGTTGGTAGGTTATCCCATGTGAAGAGGCCAAATCCCCACGACGACGTTGAGGGTGACGACGAAGTCTGTTGCTCCACATTCTTTGGCGGTTCCTGTACTAGCGTCTGTTTCTCCCGCGAAAACGATGTCCGTGACCGAAGAAAGAGCAAGGCAGCTCTTATAACGGCGAGCAGGAAGATGGAAGCGAGGAGAGATAAGAGGATTGACGTATGGGTTGAGAGAGGGAAGGAGACATTAGACATATGGAGCCTGCTGGACAACCGAATGAACATTATAGAAACCGGGGAGCCCAACGGAGGAACGTCGAGGAGAACGGGGGCGACAACGACAAGAGCACAGACGTGGTCAGCGAAACCAAAAGCAGTTATGCCTGAACAGCCTTTAAGACATCGGCAATAGCCGAGGCTGTTGCACCTGGTGACCCTCATTTTCCCACGTGGACTCCCTGAACATCAGCATTGCATTCATTTCCTCCGTCCACCGTGGTCCAGCCGCGAATATCTCTCCCCTCCGTGCCGTGCCTTTCTTTACCGATGCTCTGTCCGTTAACATTGCTCTGACCCTGGTTTCTTTCACTTCTCCCGCCGATGAACCCGCTCTCCTTTCCTAGCGCATCATTGTTACAGCTGGAAAACATCACCATGGCATCATCATATCACTGCCCGATCCTTCTGCCTATCACAATCGCAACAATTACTGAGCGGGGATCAAGTGATCAATACAATAGCAGTAGGCAATGCCTAGACAACACCCAGATGACCTTGAGAAGTAGTGTCGTTATAGGTCGTTATTTCTGTCACCGATAATTACCCCGCAATAAACGTCCTTCATCCCCGTTTCTCCTCCCTCTAAGCTTCTTGACGACGTCAATGTATGATCGATAGCCGATGGACCATGAGCATTATTCCTTTCCGGGACGTAATTGTGGCAGAATACCCGCAGTTGTCCCCGACTCCCCGGTTATTATGCGCTCACCGCTAATGGATGTCCAGCCATTGCCAGAGTAATCTCACCTTGATTACCTTGGACGAGTAAGAATGTACTACTTGCATTCATTCCATTCACTCCGATAAAAAGAGCGCGAAAAAATCCCCAGTCGCGTTCAAAATATTCGCTGGAAGCAGGATTTGAACCTACGCGGTGAAACACCAAGTGATATCAACTCAAGCACTACATGAGCGCCTATTCAAATCACTCGCCTTAACGACTCGGCCATTCCAGCGTGTTGAACAATTCGACCGCTTGATCTGGTCATCATATAAGCATTTCAACCTCTGATCCGCTCACTGATCGCAAGTCGGAAGGCAAGCATGTTGAATGATATCCTGTGGTATCTAATCGCCTCTGCCCACGACAGAAGCTCAATCTAGGGTTAAATATGCCTCCTGACTGTAGTGCCAAGATTAAACTCATCGAACATCCAACCCTTCAACAATCATATATCAGTGCCCCAGACCCTCGACGTCTCCGCCCAGGGGCCTCCCCCTGACCCGGCTTGCTTCCACTAGTGTGCCCTCTCTGTCGCTGTCAAACATGCTGGCTACCGGCCACACATATCCAACAATTGTCGTGTCACGGCTTCCATGCGCACATTGTAGGGCACTTGGCCTTAATTACCGAACACCAAACAAGTGGTTTATTGCACACCCATCAAAGTAGTGGCACGACTTTCCCAGCTCTATTACGCCGACTCCGAACACCTCGTCCCACCCCGCCAACAACATGAAGGCTGCTAGGTTGTATGGTCCTCGCGACGTGCGCGTGGAAGAGGTTGAAGAACCCGTGCCAGGTCCTCGGGAACTGAAGATCAAGGTGGTGTTGATGACCCTCAACGTCCCGAGCATTGTTTCACTCATTCTGTTCCGGCCTGGGTTTGCAGGTTGCATGGTGAGGTCATGCAACGACACCGGAGAGTGGCTTATTGATTTTATTGATCGTACTCTTCGTACGAACCCGACCCTGTAGGAATGCTTGTGAGTGATTGGTTGGATCCCTGTTCATGACAAATAACTCACAGCAGGCAACTTTGCAGTGAGCACGAACGATCTCCAGACGTTCGTTTCGCCAAGTGTCAAGTTCAAAACATGGCCAGCGCCATTAGGGCACGAGTTCGTACCTCCAGTCGCCGCCATCCCCGGAACAATTCCACTAAACAACTCATGCCCAGATTCTCGGGTACAGTTGCAGCATTGGGAAGAGGGATCGACCCAGTCGAATGGAAGACTGGAACGAACGTCGTTGTGTGCGTGAAGCCTCTATTCGGTCGCTTCTAGACGTTCAACCTGGATGACAGAGATCCGCTTATATCGTGCATGATTACGACGAAGTGCAATGCTTGTGCATCTGGTCATCGAAACAGATGTCCCAAAGTTAATTTTATTGTGCGTCTTGATGTTCCCTCGGCATATTGGTCTCACCACATATTGCCAACTCATCAGGGAAAGTCCGCGGATCGAAAAGGCGGCGGTCTGGCAGAATATGTAACAATTGATGTTCAACATGTCCACAAGATCCCAGATACCATCTCTCGTAAGCCTTCTCAGTTCTCGAGCGCCAGCATAATTATAGAGTCGTGTAGTGGAGGTGGGGGCCTGCATTGAACCCATTGCTGTCGCATGGCATGCCGTAAAGCGCGCAAACTTCAATGAAGGTGATACAGCCCTCATTCTCGGGGCAGGACCTGTGAGTTCATGGTTGCGTCGTAGCACAACCCTTGACTGCTGCTAATGCAATTCATAGACGGGCATGTTCATCCTTCGTGTACTGCGGTAGGCCCGAGTTCATTGCGTAAGAGTTGACGCAACTGACGCAGTAACCCCAGATCGATCGCTCCCAGGTCATTCATACTCGTATCGGAGGCTTCCGCCACCCGTCGGTTACTCGCGCTAAAGCATGGGGCATCCGATGTTCTGGACCCGTCACATACTCATTTTGGTGTTACGGGTGTGATATACAAAGCCACTGCTGGGTTCGGTGTTCATGCGGTATTTGATACCATTGGTGTGCAGTCAACGATCGACGCGGCGTTGTTATGCTTGCGCACTGGCGGAACGCTTGTGAATATGGCGGTGTGGAAGAGGAATGCATCGATGAATTTAAACTTTTTGTTCAAGGAGATCACAGTTACAGGTGAGTGTTTACGTAGCCCTGAAGTGATAGTAGGTTGGAGAAAGTTTTGTCCAGGTGCCATAGCATACGATAATGTCCATCCGGAGGTCATTGAAGCGGTCGCTGGGGGCGAGATACAGGGGATCGAAGGGTTGATCACTGACAGGATACAGATAGAGGATGTTTTGAAGCAAGGTTTCCTTAGGCTGCTCAACAATGGTGATGAACACAGTGAGTGTTTCCGCGTCGACAGGGACCGTTTATGTGACCTTGCGCCAGTCAAAATACTTGTCCGACCATTCGAACCACCGAAAGTTGAAGAAGATCCCAATGATGACACAGCAGAGAACATAGAGGAGGGCGCGACGGCCCAGGACGACCAAACAAACCAGGTCGAAGGAGCGAAGTCCGGAAGTGATGATCCGCCACTCGCTCCTTCCGGCGAGGATATAGGAACATCAGTAAACGGTCAGGCGGGTGTCACCACTGGAGTTGTCACCAGGGGGAGAGTCAGTAGAGAGGGGGCACCCGAAACGAGGTTTGTCGAAGTCGTAGACTAGAGATGAGACAACGTCGTGAGGTAGAGTGCATAGATTATACACGCTATACTTTAGATCTCTTCTTGAATTTCTGTTTCTGTGTAAAGAGGACTGAGGGATGGGTGCAGCAAGGGAGTTGTGGTCACTGTCAACGACAGTCGGATACATCCGGGCCGGCCTCGTCATCGTCACATCACCATCACATCAGAGCATGATGCTAACATGATAGTCCTGATATATTTCACTTTTCATCCACGGTCTTTCTATACGGCTTAACTGTTCACATGGCAGAACTTCTTAGCTCCTGAGTACCCAAGGATGATTCTGTGAATTACTTATAAGGTCATCGAGGCAAGCCAATGTGACTGACAAGTCCCTGTCCTGCTCCTCACCACATAGTATGAAGGCCGGAAGATATTACGGACCTGGAGATATACGAATTGATAATATTCCAGACCCGGTACCAAAACCGGGACAGGTTAAAGTAAAGGTGACACAAGCATGTCCCTTGTAATCAATGGTCTGTCTGACTTGGGTGTCAACAGGTTGCGTGGTATGAAACATTCATAACCTCAATTCGTGGCGGTTCAAAAATGATATTCCTAAATGGGACGGGAATGGAAGTGAGTTTTTTTCGGTCATCTCAACTGTACTAACTACCTCCTGAACACCGAATGCGGCTGATCATGATCACTTCTAAGTATGCGGCAGTGACCTCCATGCATATTTGACAAATGCACCTGTATATGCGACAAATGAACCGCACGAATTAACAGGGGAAACTCGGCCTGTCACTCTCGGACATGAGTGAGCCGGCTCTCAATACGGCCCGCTTCCTGACCCGCGTCGTTGAATATGTACTCAGATTTGCCGGGACTATCGTTGACGTCGGCCCAGGAGTCGACACAATCAAATGGGCCCCTGGAATGAACGTTGTGATGTAAGTTCTCCTGTCGGATCACCGCCTCAGAACACTCAAACCTCATCACTTTGTAGCGAGCCCATTTTTTCCTGCATGAAAGAAGATTGCCTTCCTTGTTCCAATGGAACTCGTAACATCTGTCCCCAAATTGCACCAATTGTAAGTTTGGCCGTCGCATCATTATTTTTTTTAGGGGCGCTGCGATATACAAACTCGTGATAGGGAATGAGTGGTTGGGGTGGCGGTCTCGCCGAATATATCACGGTTGACTTGCAATATGTTCACGTCCTTCCAAAAGGAGTATCCCGTTAGCAGCTAACTTTCCTCTCTCTCTTCGCCTCGAATGTACTCTCACCAATATCTAGTCGAAGTCGGGGCTTGTATTGAACCCCTCTCTGTCGCCTACCACGCCGTGAAGAGGTCGGGCTTCACTCCGGGCCAAACCGTGCTTATCATTGGTGCCGGCCCAGTAAGTGGCGTTACCCTCGGTTCAATTCACTAGCTAAAATAACTACTCAGATCGGTCTATTCCTCCTCAAAGTCATCAGGTAAAATTTGAAACCCAGGCATCGACCAATACCAGAACATGACATCATCTGTGCAGGTCAATCGACCCAAGTAGCATAGTTATCGTCTCAGAACCAGCAACTATCCGGCGGGAATTTGCGCTTGAACATGGGGCGGCTCGTGTCATCAACCCAGCGACCGAACAAGTCCCAATAGCAGTCAAAAATACTGTGGGTCCTGGTGTGCACCTTGCATTTGATGCAGCTGGTGTCCAAGCTTCTTTGGATGCATGTGTCGATAGTTTACGTCTGCGAGGAACATATGTCAATGTTGCAGTCTGGGAAGCCAAGTCAACCCTGGATGTAAATTTGATTTTAGGGAAAGAGTTGAATTTTACTGGTGGGTGAAGCTGTTATCTTTGTTTGGGATAGTGGTGATTGGGTTGGTTTAAGGTTCACTTAGCTACGATCGCGTTCATGAAGAAGTCATCAAGCTTGTTGCGGAAGGTAAAATAACGGGTATTGAGAAGTTGATAACGAGCAAGATTGCGTTGGATGATGTGGTCAAGGATGGCTTTGAGTGCCTCCTGAATGAGAAAGAAAAACATGGTTAGCCATTTTATATCTGTGAGGTTTAGTTTATTAGCCGTTTATGAAACAGTGAAAATCCTTGTCAAGCCTTGAGAGGATGGTTTTAACTTGTAGAATCTTTGGATAAAATATAAAGGTCAAGGGCCTTTATAAGTGGTTCAACGGGTAGTTGGCATCTCGCCTCGCCCCTACATAATAGCCATAGTCAAATACAATAAATGCCCTACATTTCATTCTCCTACTGGCTTTTATTTGCACCTTAGTAAGTCCCCAGCACTCAACACTCATGCATACTGCGCACTTATGGGTATTGGCATTGAGATCCTATAGACACTAATAACACACCCAAAATATAGAACACAGAACAAATGGGTATTAATTCAGTTCTCACTGAAAACTAGTTGTATATACTCTCTGATGTAAAAGATCGAACCACAGTAAAATCATTCAAGATTTCTCCTTCTTGTCACCATCGAAAAATGCAACCAATTGCCCAACAGCGACCTTGCCCTTAGCGTTAGGCGCAGAACCCTTACTCCTCTCTTTCTTCTCCTTC